GTAATTTATTTCCGAAGATGATCTTGGAGACGATGAAAAATACTTGGGTTAGAAAAAAATACGGAACCTTCCTTGATGAATTTCATCTTAACATCAAGAAATTAATTAGAGAATTGGAAAGGATCAGTATAAACCTAAACAGACTAAATATATATATATAATTAGTTAAGTAATAAAAATCTTGGTAATCCGTATGGATAATTCCAAGGTGGATGAAATCCAGAGAGCTCAGTGTTAAGTCAGAGCGAATAATTAAATTTAAAGCAAAACTGACCACTTTAAGATTCCATTGTTATAATTTATTTCACCAGAGACATTCTTTTTCTCTGGATCATCAGACCTCACTTCCAAAGATGAAAAAATGAATTTAAACTTATAGATTAGTCGTACTCTTATGTCCATCGTCTTTTCACGTTGAATTAAATATAGTCGAATGTTAATTATGTTTTATGAATATGTCCTGAAGATGGTCTACTAGACCGAAACGTCCGACGTTGACATTATATTAACATTAAAACAGCATAATTGCATATTAGGATTTTTGTTTGTTTTTTCCGTATATTTTTCTTCATATATATATATATATATATATATATATATATATATATATATATATATATATATATATATATATCAGTGCTGTCACTGTGTGTCATACTAGGTATTTGCTCTGTCTCCCCACTAAGAAGAGTTGTGACACAAGGTCTTTTTTTAAGGTGAGGGACCCGAGCGCGTACATCCGGACCAGGAACAAAAATTGCCCACAGCCCCTGCAACTATCGGTTACGCTGGCCTCGGTGCGAGCACCGATCCCTCTCTCTGCTGCATTGAGAGGGTGTGGCCTCGGGCAGCTGTTCCCCACGGCTGGTCACCTCTCAGTATAATTTTCCTCGGTTGCAATTCTGTCCTTTGACGGAGTCGCCCCTGAGTGCACTCTGCCCAAAGACAGAGACGCAACTGAGAGATGATAAATAGATGTGTTACAACCCCCCCCCCCTCAAGAGAGGGGTTTACACACTTATACAATCTGTCTCATACTAACTTCGCGCGAGTTGCGCTAGAAATAACTGGAGATATTTGTGCCAGAACTTTCGAAATCAGTCGACTAAAAGGGAAAAGACAACGCCCGGAGATTGTCGCTGTTGCGCAATATGGGGACTCCTATGCAGGTCACTAGAGGGACTGAAGTGTCACATACGGCACAAACATAAAAACTGAAAGTGGTTGTCGTATCCTCATACGTCGAAAACGACGGGAGAGTCCATCATCATCATATATATTCCATTTTGTCATGAACGTTCTTAACATCATTCCCTCCCAACACCGGACTCTGAGATTTTAAAGAATCGGCTAGCAAAACAACTGTAAGTTTTACTTTCCATTGAAAATAAGGATTTCATTTTTTCCCCTTTGCTTGCAGTTAATAAAGCAATTTGATTTTAGAAATTCTTTCAATAAAGTTATCACTGCGAATGTATAACGATGAAAAAAAAATGACTACCTGACAATATAAAATAGGGGCGGTATTGAGCAATCCTAGGATCGCAAGAGGAGCTATGTGACCTCGGAGAAAAAAAAAGCGAGCCACTTATATAGCTGGCGACGAAGGGAGGGAATGCAATAATTAGTTCTGAAACAGCTGGCAAGATAGATCCAAAGAGTTTTTGTCCCATGTTTCTCTCTTTGGTAATACTGCTGCCACATATGGGCAAGACCTCCACAGTTTTCACTCTCCAGTGTCAGTAGTGTCAAAAAGCGTCTCCGCGTCCTTGTGGGTGACAAATTATTTTCCACCCTGCGCAATCCCTTCCTCACAGATGGGGGGGGGGTTACGGAGTGCGAAAGAAAAAACTGTGAATAGGGAGGATTGAGGAAAGGATAGAAGATGAACGGAATTCAAGAAGACAAGATGGCGATTGATGTTCCATTTAATTTTCGAAGATTGTACTTATCAAGGAAGCAAGTAAACGGAAGGGAGTTCCACTGTCGGGAAGTGCTAGAAAAGAAACTTGGAGTAGAACTGGTGGTTGCATTTAGCTATTTCAGTAAGAAATGGGTGGGATCTAGATGCCAAATTAGTAGCAGGCTTAAATTCATCTAGTCGAGGCACCAGGGAAAAAGCTCGTCAGAGCCAGTTGCCGTGAAAATATTTATAGAAAAGACAGAGGGAAGCCACGTCATGTCGGTGAGAAAGTGTCTATTGCAGCAAATCACTCTCATTCCCTCCGTATTCCATTAGTGAGAAGTAAGTTCCACTTGAGCAGCTTCTTCCTGCGAACTACTGCTCTGTGGAACCGACTCCCAAGAGGATATTTCCCCAATTCTAACCTTTGCGGCAAGGATCCACCATGACACTCACATTGTAGCAAACCACCCTCATTCCCTCAGTATTCCATTGTTGAGTAGTAAATTCTATTGGAGCAACTTTGCTCTGGTGAACCGATTGCCAAGAGGAAGTTTTCCCGATCACTATAATCTCAACCTGTTTAATCTAGTGTTAACGGTTATCTCCCGCACATATTCTAATAAAATATGTTTCTTTGTGGAACTGACTCCCAGGAGGATGCTTCCCCGATCACTACAATCTTAACATGATCAAGTCTAGGGTTAACCGTTATCTCCCCCACATATCCTCATAAACTCTGCTTCTTACCTCTTACTTTGTGGAACCGACTCCCAAGAGGATGCTTCCCGATCATTACAATCTTAACCTGTTTAAGTCTAGGGTTAACCGTTATTTTCCCCACATATCCTCATAAATTGTGCCTCTTAGTCTCTAACCCGGCACCTTGAGTCGCTACCGGGCTTTGTATAGGGTGAATGTCACTGAAAAAAAAAAAAAGTAAAGAAATAAAAAAAAAAATTTTGAATTTGATAGAGATTCAAGACAGCGTGTAAACTAGATTTTTTCAATGGGGAAATGTACAAGAATTCCAAATTCCGGGGAAGAAGTGGGTATTAAAACAAACTTCTATTCAAATTATGATTCCTTTTTTATTTATTGAATGTTGTTTATAAAACAATCAATGTTTCACATTCTGAGTCAATGATTGGCACTTTAAAAGTACAATGGTGAAAAAATTACCTGCCGACTATGTTCGAGGTCTGTCTGAAAAGTAGCAGGACTTGGTGTGCTGTGTGAGCTATGGGTGAAAGACGGATTGTGTTATCATCTTACGTATCTTGAGAGTATATAATTGTAATCTTAGCTTTCTATAACCATTGCATCTTGGCTGCTTCACTACGACAATGCCCCTGCTCACAACGCCCTGAGCATCCGGCAGTTCGTAGCCGAGAAGAACATCGCCGTACTGGTACAATCTCCCTATTCAATTGATCTTGCTCAGTGTGGCTTTTTTCTTTTTCCCCAAGCTCAAAGGGATCATCAATTGGACTCGTTTTGAAGGCGTGGAGGCCATCAAGGGGTTCATAATAACGGAGCTGATGGACATCCTAGAAAAATCCTTCCAGCATTGCATAGAAGCGTGGCATAGGAGGATGGGAAAATGAATTAGACTCGAGGGGTGTTACTTTGAAGAGGAAACCATGTAGTTCGTTGTTTGGTATTGAAATAAATCGTTTGTGACACCAGTCCTGTTACCTTTTTAGACAGACCTCGTAAAATAAATAGAGGAAGCTTAAGATCGCAAAGGAAGATATATGATCCAACACCCGGAGAAGCATTGGTTTAGATGCTGAAGAAGGCAGTGAAAGCAATGATTGTTCTGGAGCATCTAACGAAACGTCAAAACAAACATTTCTATCTTGGTTCTTGCTACTCTGACTGCGAATTGGATAGCGATTCAAGACTGTATTCAAGATGATGTTTTCTCAAAGCGGGGAGGCATTCAACTTGGAGGAATTCCAAATCAAGAGAATAATTGTATATTTAAATAAATTTTATGTCGAAACAATAATTCCTTTTCGTTTTATTTCATTTCAATTTAGTTTCAGAAATTGGTCCAATAATCAGATCTGTAAAAGTATCGTTTTTTTTTTTTAAATAAATCACCCCAAGTAAGGCGATAACGTCACTAAAATGAAAGGGGGCTACTTGATGT